TCAGAGGTAGATTTTTATTCACTTTTACAGCAACTACCCATGGTTGCTGTACAAGATTATTTAGGATAATATGCAAAAGAGTGACTAAGAAAGTCAAAGTTAAATAAACCATTTTATGAAACACCTTCTGATTTCATGGCTCTCTTTTTCGGTTCTATTTATAAGATTACAGTAACTTTCTGCTTCCATAAAATCACAATATAGATATAAATCTTTAGTAGCCAGTAAGATTCTGTGACTCATTCTGTACTTGAACTGATAACAGATGCCTCAGGTGTTTACCAAGTGATTTCACATAGTGTGCACACCTGTCCTTGGCTTTGGAAGAATTTCTCTAAGCAGGATGGCTTTGAGCCCTATTTTAATACAGAACTGCATCTCTGATGCATTGTGACACCAATCCTACGCTGCGTTTGTCCCCCAGTGCACTGCTGGAGACTGTGGAGGGGTTTCTGTTCACATCCTGTAAAAGCATCTGAGTTTTGCCAACCAGCCTTTTTGAATTTGGATCTGAACTGTGTCAACCAAGCCTTTCTGAATTTTGACTCTTCTGCACTGACTCTTTGGTGGATCTGCTGACTCATTTGCTTTCTTTTTAGTCTTTTTGGCTATTTGGTGGCCGGGGAGTGGATGTCTGCTGCGATTACTGTTGTTTGGATTGTGTCTGCAGTGAGAACAGCAGTGGGGCTGGTGGGAAGCCCCTGCATGACAAAGAGCAGGGCAGGAAGCTGCTGGAAACTTCTTCTTAGGTTGCCCAAACCAGCCTGATTGTGACAAGTGACATTTCCTAAGCTTGCTTGGGTGGCTTCCCTATTTTAATTAAATTGACACACATGGAGCCACGAAGCTCTGATATCCCAGGCTGAAACTTCTGAGCAGTTTTCCTTAGCATTTTCCTTTCCCAAATGCACAAATGTTGTCTGTGAACAAATGCTGGTGCTAAATAACTATGGGAAGACTGAAATTTAAAGTGAGTGCTGCCCTGTGACTCTTACTAAAACCACTCTGGACCTCCTAAGACCCTAATGGGTCAAATATCTTGGTGCATAGGTGTGCTAGTGCTTGGTTTGAGCTGCTGTAGAAGGACAGAGACCAATGGTGCTCTTAAGTTGTAATTTCCACTTGCCTTGTGGGCACTCACCACACCGTTGCAATTTTTTTTTTATCAAAAGGAAAGAAAACACTGCTTTTCTCATTCCTTTTTTTTTCCTAAAAGAGGTCTATTCTAAGAGTGAGACTGCCAACCTTGGGAGTTCTGGCCTTCTGAGAGCTGACAGAATTTCCTGTAAGAGTTGCTTTTATAAAAGCTGTTTCCTTTTTGTTGCTTTTCCTTTGTTGCAATTCTTCTGTTTGTTCTTACTGTCTCCCCACTTGTTCTTACTCATTTAACCTGCTCTGTACACTTATAAAAGAGCAGAAAGTAATAACATACTGATTTCTACAGTTAACTTACAGTAACTATTAATTTATAGTTAATATCTGTGGATAAGGTTCATGACTGTGCTGTCTAAGCCCAGCACAGACATGAACCTTATACACAAATATTCCTATTCAACATCTGGTTAACTGTAGGTGCCCATCCTATCAAACAGTCCTTCCTTCCTTTCATACCACTCCTGCCATGCAGGATGACTCACTCTGCTTCCTGGGATTTTCCAGTTGTAACAATTTATTGACCAAGACATTTTTATAATTATTCACCCCATAAGCATTGCAAAGTCACAGAAGTTCTCCAGGTTCTGTGCTTTCAAGGCATAATTATTTTACATGAGGATGCTTTTTTCTGTCTTGGGAAGGAAGTGGGTGTGTGGGGAATATGCTGCAACAGATTTGCAATATGCTTTGACAGATTATTTTAGTAGGTAAGATATTAAAAGGAAAGCACAAGTCATGTATTTATAGGGATATGAGGCTTAATTCTAGTTTTAGTTAAATGAGTGTAGGTTTACCAATTGAAATATAACTGCATCACTTGATTGGAGTGCTTTAAGTATATGTGTCAAGGTGAAATTGCATTAGGAGTATGGAGTGGATTTTAATGGCAAATATTAAATAGCAGCAGATATATTTTTCTCAGGTTTTGTTAGAATCAGTACCCTGGAAATGACCGGGATGACTTCACATAAACTGTTGAGGATGGCCCTACATATGTGCTTTGAAATGCTGGGAAATTATTAGTTAAAAAAAAAAATCAAGAAAGTTATTTGATTTCAGATAAGAAAACTATCTTTAAACCCAAGAATTTTGCACGAGGCTGAATTTTTCCCATTGTCTACGGGGACCTCTCACACATGGACAGACATCCCGTTGCTCCACTGAGTGGGATTTGTGGCAACACCCTTTGATCCCACTCAGAGTCCTTGCCCGCTTCTCACCTCTATCCTAATCCTTCCTTCCTTCACCATGAGCTGCTCCATGTGCAGCCTGTCCTGCTGTGTCCACTCCCAAGCAGACAGGCTGTTATTGAACCCGAGGAACATCAGCACGTCGTTCCCAGAGCTTCTGCCCTGATGGCATCGGCTCAGCGCCGCTTTCACAGCAGCTGGCTTGTTTTCAGAAACTAAGGAAAACTGGGGGAAGTGGTGGAAATCAGACTTTCCACTGGAGATGTGCCATCCCAGCCTGAACAACAGCGATGCAGCGCTGACTGTAATGCACCACGTCCCTTCTGCTGGCGCTGGGGGTGTCTGGGGAGCCCGCGGCACAGACACTCATCACGGCCACGTTAATGCTGCATCGAGGAGGCAAAAAGAGGAACCACCACGCTGGATGTGTGGCACCAAATGTAATAACATCATCTCCCAGCAGCAGGATAATTTCCAGGTGTGCTCACCAGTACATGCTGTGCAGACCTTGTGAACAGTCCGGCACAGGCTCTTAGGGCAACAAGCGAAGGGTTGACTTCTGTAGGATACGTGTGTTTACTTTAAAACAACAAAGTGCATTTTTTCCCAGAAGAAATATAGACTGTACTTTTTTCAGTTCTTTTGGCTACATGCTGTATTCAAGCCTTCCCAGGATATAACCAAGTTTACAAAGCCTTTCCTTGACTCCCCTATCAATTTCTATCTCAAGGAGTAGTTTCCTGTTTCCTGAGCAGCCTTCTGGAGGCACTTTCTCCTGTAAAAGCAGCTTTATAGAATCACAGAATGGTTTGGGTTTTAATGAACCTTTTAAAGGCCATCGAGTCCAAGCCCTTGCCATGGGCAGGGATATTTTGACTTTACAGGATTCCTGGGATTTTACACAATCATTATACAGTTCCTCAACCTGAAAAGTGACAGGAAGATCTGATGACAGCTAAAAGCCATAATGCAGTCTTTGGCCAGGTCTGACTGTACCGATGCCTCTCAGCAGCCTGGAGATCTGGGTTTAGGTAAGGTAATAACCAAAAGTTCATTAAAAATTACAGCAGCTGAAGTGGGTCCCCTCACACTCACTTCACTTCATGCCCATGGATGGCACAAACCATCCAGGTTCGGCACAATCTGGCTGGCGAAGCACAACCAGTTTTCCAACATTTCTCAAGAAACAATTTTTTTTTCCTATGAAAAGCATTTAAATGAAAGAAAGGACCTGGGGGTGCCAGTCGACAGCTGGTTGAACATGAGACCACCGTGTGCCCATGTGGGCAAGAAGGTCACTGGTGGTGAGGCCACACCTCGAGTGCTGTGTCCAGTTCTGGGCCCCTCAATTCAGGGAGGACATTGAGGAGCTGGAGCAAGTCCAGAGAAGGGCAACGGAGCTGGAGAAGGAGCTGGAGCACAAGTGTGATGAGGAGCGGCTGAGAGAGCTGAGGGGGCTCAGCCTGGAGGAGGCTCAGGGGGGACCTTCTCATTGTCCACAACTCCCTGACAGGAGGTGTAGCCAGGTGGGATTGGCCTCTTTCCCAGGCAACCAGTGACAGGACATAGTCTCAAGCTGTGGCAGGGGAGGTTTAGGTTGGACATCAGGAAGAATTTCTTCACAGAAAGGGTGATTAGACGTTGGAATGGGCTACCCAGGGAGGTGGTGCAGTCACCGTCCCTGGAGGTGTTTAAGGAAAGACTGGGCATGACGCTCAGTGCTCTGGGCTAGTTGGCAAGGTGGCCATGGGTCACGGGTTGGACTCGATAATCTCGGTCCTTTTGTCGACGATCTCGATGATGGAGGTCTTTTTCAACCAAAATGACCGTGTGCCAGGGGCAGGCTTGCGAGGGCACTCCCGCCGCCACGGGCGGTGCCCGCGCTGCCCTGAGGGCGATCCCTCCCTCAGCCCCTCGCAGGGCCACCGCCGAGGGCGGGAAGGCGCCCCGCGCTCCCGCGGGCCCCACCGCCGCCATCGCCGCTTTAAGGCGGCGCATTCCGGGCGGTGGGGGTGGCCCCGCTCCGCCGCGGGACTCCGCTCCCGGCCTGCCCCGCGCCCGCCCCGCCTCGCCTCGCCGGGCCTCGCCCGGCCTCGCCCGTCCCAGCCCGCGGCCGGCGCGGAGCGGCGGCACCCGGCGAGCGAGCGACCCCCCCT